TTTGGGAGGTTTTTTGGGAAATTTCCCCCCCCGGTTTAAACCCACCCCCCCCCGGATGTTTTTCTTGGGGGGGGGGTTTTGGGTTTTTTCCCCAAAAAAAGGAGTTGGGGGGGTTTTTTGGGCCTCCCCCCCCCCCCCCCCCTTTTTTTTGGCAGGCCGGGGTACTTTTTGCTCTTTTTGGGTTTCCCCTGGAAGCCGCTGTTTGGGAACCAATTTTTTTGCCCCCCCCCCCCCCCCGCCTTGTTTTCCCTCCCCGCCCCCTCGCCGACCCGCTTTAACAGCCTCCCCTTCCGCTGCCCCCGCCGGTCCTTTCGCCCCGGTGTTTTTCCCCTCCCCGATAAACGGTTTCCCCCTCAGCAACTCCTCCCCGGTTAGGAACTCGGTGTTTTCCTGCACCCAAACATACCGGGGGCGATTTTTGGCTTTGTTCAGGGGGGGGGGGGGGGAGGGGAGGGGTAAGCTTCCGACATGGGACTTCTTGCGTGGTCCCGAGGGGTTCAGGGTTCAGAAGAGAGCCCGGGCTCCCAAGAAAGGGACAACCACAACTGCTGTACCTATCAAAGCTGTTCCGTCTATCAGTCTGTTTGACTGCATGTCCCTTCCTGCCTCTGCTTGTCTGCTCTTTACGATGAACCACAAAACAAAAAAATGGTAAACCTTCCCGGCCCGTTTGCCGGCGGTAGTCTTGCAACAAAGTACTCTTGGTTGCCTTATGTACAACAACACGACTGGGGCATACAAGCCACCAAGCGAAAATGACGAGATTTTGCTCGAAAATAACGGCGGCAGGCCAGAGTACCGGGTCGTACACACGCATCGCAGACACTCCGCACACAGAGAAGAGGGTGGTTTCAGTTGTTATCCGGCCGCTGCCTATCTACTTCTACTACCGCCTCGCTCGGTGCGACCAGACTCGACACCTTCCACAAAAAGAGACGTATCATTCGCAATTTTCAGCACGTCACCGCGGATCGATGCTCGGGGGGCACCGTTGCTGTTGTTGTTGTCTTCACATTAAAAACCGTTCCGATCTCTCTCTACCCAGTACCTTCGTATGTCCGTACTGATCCAACACTCGACGCGGTCGATTCCCGTGGTCACAGGTTAACTTACCCTAAAAAGGTACACTCAAATAAACTGGCCCCGAGGGGTCCGCAAGTCAATATAAATCAACGACAGATATTCTGGGATCCTCCACTCCCTCTTCGCGCTATGCGAGGTATCAACTGAGACTAGCAGTCACTATCTATCATGGGCCGGAGAAAAAGAGAGGTACACCCCCTTGGTTCAATCTTGGTACTTCACAACGCAAGCCGAGACAAGGCCATCTGGCACAGAAAAAGAGAGAAAAAAAGAGAGAAAAAAAAAAAGAAAAAAGAGAAAAAAACAAGGAGAAAACATAAAAATGGAAACCGTAAGGACAAGAGAAAATACCGTAGAGGAGATTGGAAACGTCAGGGGGGTATATGTACCCACCCACAATCAGTGAAGCCCCATTCGTCCCCTCTCCTCACGCACAAACCGCTGCCGTGCCAACTAAACCGGTATGAGTTATGTTCTCAAGAGGGTGTACTGCATGCACGCTACAGCAGTGCGGCCATTAGAAGCTTGCGCCCACCTCGACGCTGTCGCGTAGCTGCGTGAAGACTATCGCTCGAGTGCTCTTGCCGCCGGCCTCATGCCTCGCGAAGTGCTCTCGCAGCACCTCCTTCAGCTTGATCTGTCACGCAGAGATTTTTCCCGACAGGCACGAGATGCACAACAAAGGCGAGGGAAAGCCATCGGTAATGTGTATATCAGAGGGGGGGGGGGGGGCTTGAAAAAAACAAAAAGGAACTGCCCCCCTGTGGCAAAAAAAGGGGGCGGACCGGAAAAACCCGGTGTTCCCCCCCCTCAAACCCCCCCAACCAAAACTTATTTTTCCGATCACGGGAAAAAAAAAAAAGCGGGGATGTGA